CTCTTTTACAGCCTCATTTGTGTGTGTCTGTGTGTCCTGTTTGGAGTCACACCCAGCAGTGCTCAGGCCTTGCTCCTTGCTTTGCACACAGGGATCACTGCTGGTAGTTCCCAAGAGACCAGATGTGGTTCCAAGGATTGAATTCAGGTCAGTTGCATGCAAGGAAGTACTATAGCCTCTGTACTATCTTTCCGGCCCATCCAAGTAAATATCTTTAAATAAAATTAGTTTCTTCACTCTTTCCTCTTCTTGAAATTCTTTTCTTTGGGAAACAATGAAGCTCCTGGAACACTGTGATAAGACTTGCCTGACTAACCTTTTCCTGCAAAGATCAATTCCTACTCCAGACTGAGGCTATGACTCCCTGAGCATTCTGATTGTGGCGATCAATTGTCATGTTGTGCAGAATGAGTGGACTTCAAGCATATCTTGATGGTCATATAGTAGGAATGGTGGGACATGAGCGTCCATGGTATATAGATGCTAGGAGAAGCGTTTACTTGTTCTGACCATCTAGGTTTTTTTCCTGGAGTGGCTGAGGAGAGTCGAGTAGAGGGCCAGAAAAACTTTTTTCTCTAGGCTACTCCTTTCCTCCCCACTCCACCCAAGGCACCTGCAATAATGTTCAGTAAATACTTTAATCACTGCACAGAAGCTCAGCAAGCATTCTCTTTTTCACACGTTACAGAAAAGGAAGCTGTGGCATGAGGGATGAGTGCAGAAAAGCAATCTGCATTCCAGCACCATGCAGAATAGACAGACTGTGGAAACAACCCTGTGCCCAAGATCAGAGGAGTAGATAAAAAAAACCTATTTTTCAGCACAGATGCCACTAGCCCTCGTGCCAGGCTGTCTCATTCAGGGCAATCTGGAGCAGAGCTGATTTTGTCTCACCACCCATCCTCAAAGAAGCCCCGGCAGTCAAAAACCTGCAGAACTCAATACTACCATCTCCACAGCTCCATGAGCCTTATAGTTCAGTAAATCTTCTGAAAAAGCCAGATATAAGGGACGCGTGACTGAAATCTGCATGCTTGCCTGCAGTCCCTCCATCTCCCTGGGCTTCAGTAGCTGGCAGTCACACCCAGAAACTGCCTCTGGCTCCATTTAATCTCATTAACAGCCATGATCCAGAGACTCACAAATAAACTTCAGAAGAGGAAGAGAGCAACACGCTGTGGAGATGCCTCTGGACCCCAAAGTCACCATTCAGTTAAAAATTTAATTCTTGCTATATCATGCTGTTGAAAATCTTAGAAATTCTGCTCATCTCATACTCTCTACAAAGGTTTAATGGCTTTAGGGTGATAAAACAATCTTGACACACTTACCTCTAAGGAAAATTTGGATCATCTTTAGAGGATTATTCACAATAGGCAATACAAAGGAAATTATTATGTTCTGCATTGGGGATCTGGGGGGAATAACTTGAAATATTGTGAGGGGAAGGTGTAATGTTGGTGGGACTGATGTAGGAATTTGAATATAATCAATTATTTTGAACAACTTTATAAAAATAAAATTAAAAAAATAAAAAGAACTTTAGAAGAAACTATGGTGCATCTACACAGTGGAACACCACATGGCTGTTAGGGAGAATGAAGTTATGAAATTTGCTTCTACATGGATAGACATGGAGATGATCATGCTGAGATAATAAGTCATTGGGAAAGGCACAAACATACAATGATTGCACTCACTTGGGGATATAAAAACCAAAACAACAACACTGTGTGTGAATAATACACAAAAGCATAGAAACAGTGGCTAGAAGATATGGCTCATGGGAGGAAGCGTGCCACAAAAAGGAAGGGAACTTAAATTAGGACATAGAAGGAAATACTTTGACAACGATAGCTGGACATGATCTCTTGAACAAAAACTGAGTGCTGAAAGGAGATAAAGTGATATGCACAATACCCTTTCAGTAACAGTATAGAAACAAAGTGCAGCCATTGTAATTGTTTTTACAGCCATTTTGCTATTCTTTATGATTATGTAACTGACAGCTGAATTGAGCATGAACCCAACACCACATCATGGGAAGGGAACAGAACAAACAAAATTTACAATGCTTGCAGTTAGTGTCAGCCAATCAGTAAAAAGAAAGAATCCAGTGTTCAGTCAGGCATGGAAAGAATAGAACAAAGGGGCACCCACAGGACGCACTAACCAATCAGCTTACAGGTCAACTAGGGAGAAAGAACAATGTAGTTTTAGGGTACTTAAACTCTCCCCCACAGTTGGTGGAGGTGTACCCCACCATTGCTCTATGGCGTGTGTAACAACTGTCAGTCTGTAACAATTCTCTCTCTCTTTCTCTCACTGTTTCTCTCTCTCTCTCTCTCTCTCTCTCTCTCTCTCTCTCTCTCTCTCTCTCAAACACACACACACACACACACACACACACACACACCTCTTTAATAAAATGTTTGAACTCCTCCCAGGTACCTTGACTTCGAATTGTGGACCCTAACAACAATACTGCAAACAACAGAGCCTAAAACAAAAATGAGAAATCCTTGTACCTCTCCTCCAGGGGGTGTTTCCTGCTTCCTTCCCCACCCCAAGAGATGCAGAGACAGAGACAGAGAGGAAATGTGTCTGCCATTGAACAGACTTTGGAGACAAAGTGGAGGATGCGTGCAGGAGGGAAAGGGGAACATTGGTGGTAGGAAACGTGCACTGGGGAAAAAATGGGTGTTGGAACATTGTATGACTGAAACTCAATCATGAATGGCTTTGTAACTATATGTCTCACTGCATTTTATAAAGAAATTTGTTTCTGGGGCTGGAGCAATAGCAGAGCGGGTAGGGTGTTTGCCTTGCACACGGCTGACCTGGGTTCGATTCCCAGCATCCCATATGGTGCCCTGAGCACCGTCAGGAGTAATTCCTGAGTGAAGAGGTGAAGAGCCAGGAGTAACCCCTGTGCATTGCCAGGTGTGGCTCAAAAAGCAAAGAAAGAAAAAAAGAAAGAAAGAAAGAAAGAAAGAAAGAAAGAAAGAAAGAAAGAAAGAAATTTGTTTCATCTTCAGCAAAAGTTACATTTGCACGATTGCTCATTTATTATGTGGAAATTGTGCCTATCATATTGATGAAAATTAGGAAGTGTCAGTTTCAAATGTGATAATTGTCCAAATTCAATGACCTGACCATGATAAAAATAATCCTAATTCTGGGGTCTGAGCAGTGAATCGTCTCATCAATCTGCTAAGTCAATTCAAATATTCCTATTCATATTTTCAGTTTCCCTGCGAACTGAGCCTATGAAGCCCAGGATCCACAGAGAAAATGCTCACTCCTCCTCCTCCCTGGTTGCTCCCAGTAGATAGTGACTCAGCCCCTGAGCCCTGGTGATCAGAATCTGCCTGGACTTCCTACTTGGACTTCCGAGCCCTGTCCACTGCACAGAATCATCACCAGGGGCAGCATAGAATCATGGGGTCCAATGAAGCTGAAGTGGATCAGGGGGACAGAGTGTCTAACTCAGTAGAATGTACATGTCCAGGTTGCTGGTGTTTAGTAACCAACCTCATACCGAAGGAAAAGGTATTGATTTTCCTATCACCTGAAACTGATAACTAGTTTTTCCACATTTTCTTTGATTTTTCTTTGTTTTTTTTTGTTTCTTTCTTTCCTTCCTTCCTTCATTTTTCCTTTTTCTTTCTTTCCTCCCTTCCTCTTACAGATATTGCCAATTTCTTTGAAAAAAGATACATACTCTTGGGGCTGGAGTGATAGCACAGCGGTTAGGGTGTTTTGCTTTGCACACTGCAGAACCCGGGTTCAATTCCCAGCATCCCATATGGTTCCCCGAGCATGGCCAGGAGTAATTCCTGACTGTGTGAGCCAGGAGTAACCCCTATGCATCTCTGGGTGTGAACTAAAAAAGCAAAAAAAAAAAATACTGACTCTTAAGCCGCCCCACAACTTAATTCTGATCATTGGGGTCACAGTCCATAAAGTTTGGACTGACTCCTTTAGAATCTGAATTTTGTTGTGTGGCAAGTGACAGGGTCTCCCGGATAAAGGGGGTGGAGATCATTGGGATCTGGGGAAACTTTGATGAATTCTAAGGAGGCCCTGGGGGGGGGACTGTGATGCTGATCAAATGATGTGGTGTCAGAGATTAGTCAACCACTAGGAGGGTGCTGTGGGGAATCCAGGGCTGTCTTCAGTGATGCTCAGTCCAGGAACACATAATGTTCCTGGGAATCTAAGCAGAATTGTCTTCAAGAAAAGCACCTAAGATATGAAATCTGTGTCTGTGTGTGTGTTTCTGTGTGTGTGTGTTTCTCTGTTGACTGTGAATGCGCGCGACCACCTGCCTATACTCAGGAATTCTGACTTAGCACTCTTGCATTGTTCCTCATGGGGTATAGGGACAATACTTAGTGACAGAGATCAAACCTGGGCAGGTCAGGCACAGGGAATCACTCTCCCCGCTGTGTGTTATCTCTCTGACCACAGGATCTGAAATATTTTTGGTCCAGAGAATATTTACTATCTAGTCTTTGAACATTTTCATCTCCTTTGGTATCTGGTAACAAAAAGGATCCTGTACACCTTCCATAAATCAAGTAATAAAGGTGATTTTTATTATTTCATGAATTTACCCGAAACTGTAGGAAACTAACTATAGAATATATTTAATGAGATATCCTTGAAATTTAAGCCAATATTTCATACCATATATCAAATTATTTATCTGAAAACATACTGCGTTAATGCCCTAAGTCATGACCTAAGTAGACAAAGTTCCCATAACATACAGAAAACCACAAAATTTCAGGGAGGAGCCACTAAGCAGCAGGCCGGCACTATGGGGCCAGCCGTGTCCTCCCTGTGTCCCTTGGGTCTGGGCCCTTTTCTGCAGCCACGGACCCCAGGCAGCAGCCCTGAGCCTGGCTGATTTGCATAGCCAGCAGCTCTCTCCTCAGCGGATAAGAAGGGACCAGAAGAAGTTCAGCCTCGGTGCCAGGATCTCAGCCCTCACCATGGCCTGGACCTTGCTCCTCCTGTGCTTCCTGGCTCACTGCACAGGTGATGTGACCAGGCTCCCAGTGGCCCCAGGCCCAGTGGTCTGGGGCATCTTTGTTTAGTCTAAGCTCAGCATAACACTGGTATAAGATGCCCATCACGCTGATGGAGGTCGAAGGGGTTCCCACAGAATTAGTAGAGGTTATGAAAACTTGGAATCGGCAGTCTGAGATGACTCTTTTTCTGACCTCTCCTTCTCTCTTGCAGGTTCTCTGTCTTCCTATGAGGTGAATCAGGCACCCTCATTCTCTGTAAGCCTGAGAGGGGAGGCCAAGATGACCTGTGCGGGAGACAGCATTGGAAGCAAACATGTTTCCTGGTACCAGCAGAAGCCAGGCCTGGCCCCTGTGCTGGTCATCTTCAAGGATAGTGAACGACCCTCAGGGATACCTGATTGTTTCTCTGGCTCCAACTCTGGGAACCTGGCCACGCTGACCATCACGGGAGTCCCGGCTGAGGATGAGGCTGACTATTACTGTGCAGCAGCTGGTAGCATTGAGGGCAGCTGGCAGTATCCACAGTGGCACAGACACTGAGGAAGTGGGGTAAGAACCTCCTGCCCTGGCCTGATGCTCACCCTCACTGTGCTCAGTAACTGAGGCCTGGGGGTCAAGCAACTTCCCTACTCTGATCATCATCTCGAACAAGGGGTGATTCTCTATGCTCCTGGATCTTTATTTATCCTTCAAAAACACAAAACCCTCGAGGACTAGAGCCATAACAGCGGGTAAGGCCCTTGCCTTGCATGCAGCAGGCCTAGTTTGATCCCCAACTTCCCATATGGTCCCCTGAGCCCTGCCAGGAGTGATCCCTGCATATAGAATAGGACTAAGTCTTGAGCATAGTCAAGTGTGGCCCAAAAAATAAAAATGAAATAAAAAATGAAACCTTTTAAACCCTCGATGTTTTGAATTCTTCAATTCAATGATTTTAGTTTCTCAACTTTGGTTAACAGCTGCTGGTCCAGAATTCCTTCAGCTGTGTGTGGGGCAGCTGCAGCCCTTTCCGATGTAGTGTCTTCACTTCCTCATTCCAGGGGTATGAGGGGAATTCTGACACCAGAAGGACAATCTCTGACTCTGAGTGGCCCCTGACTCAGGGTGGCCTTCTTGTTATCCCTTTCCTCTTGTCCTTTGATGAGACTGCAGGTCTTTCAGTGTTAGAGAAGGACTCCTTGAAAGGAGAAGCATGGGATACCATCACCTGCTCACTTATTAGAACTGAGATTTACGATACCTGGATTTTTGTATGTTGCTGAGAATTTTTATCAGAAGTTTGTAAAACTTCCATGTCACTCTCTCATGTATATGGATAAGAAACAAATGTCACCATGACTTGATACCCACTCTAGAATGATTGTTCTTGTACATTTAACCTCCCGACCCAAACACCCTCACTGCCTTTTGGTCCCTTTTCTTTTTGAAGGACAAAAAGGGGAAAAATCCTTTTCGCATATCAGATCAATTTACTGTATTTGATTTTCTCATACATTTTTCTTTATTTTTTGGAGGGAGTGATGACACCCAGTTGTGTGATCAAGAACTACTGTTGGCAATGCTCAGGGGACTATATGGGATGCTAGGGATCAAACCTGGGTTGGCCAAATGCAAGGCAAGCACACTACCCACTATACTATCCAGCCCCTACTCATATATTTTTATACTCAAACTCTCTCATTTTTTGTCTCCCATTATTTTTCTGCCATCCATCTGTCCAGAGACTAAAAAACCTAGCTCCCAGAAGAGAACAGCGCAGAGTCTCCTGCCCCCGCACCTGTCTGTCCTTGCTGGGGCCCCTTGGAGGAGGGCGGGTTGAGTTTCCCTCCCTGCCCCGAGCAGAGTTCCAGCAGCCGAAGACCTCCAGAACCAGCCACAACCATGCTGAGACCACTCTCCACATGCATGAAGGTACCGGCAGAGGAACAAAGGCATGTGAGTCCCAAGGCTGAGCATCCTCCACCCAGATCCTCCATCTTCCAGTAGGCAGGGGTCACACCCACCAACTGGCCCCCAGGCGCTGTGTAATCCCATCAATGACCAAGACCTAGAGACTATAAAACCCAGCTCCCGGAAGCAAGACATCTTATTATCTCATTCTTACTTTGGACAACCTGACAGGCTACCAAATGTAACCTGACCACATGGCAGAGTCTGGCAAACTCCCCGTGGCGTACCCAATATGCCAAATACCAGTAGCAATGATGGGTCTCATTCTCCTAACCCTGAAAGAGCCTTGAATGTGGCACTTTTTAAAATCTCAGGGCTAGGACGAAGGAGACGTTACTGGTGCCTGCTCGAGGCAATTGACGAACAACAGGATGATCGTGATCATGATCGTGATCGTGACATCTGTTCGAAAAATATGAATTAAAAGGTAAAAATAGTTTTAGGAACTAGAGAGGTTATATAGGGATTAGGATTCTTGACTTGCACCCTGCTAATTCAGGTTTGAATGTCCAGGACCACATTGGGTCCCCTGAACTCCTCCAAGTATTACTCCTGACACAGAGCCAGGAATAGTTTCTGAGAATCAGTCAGCAGTTGCATGCAAGGCAAGTACCACGGCCTCTGTATTATCTTTCTGATCAATCTAAGTAAATATCTTTAAATAAAACTATTTTGTTTCACTCTTTTCCCTCTTCTTGAAATTCTTTTCTTTGGGAAACAATGAAGCTTCTGGAACACTATGCTGAGACATGCCTGACTATCCTTTTCCTGCAAAGATCAATTCCTAATCCACCCTGAGGCTACAGCCCCTGAGCATTCATATTGTGGGGACCAATTCCCATGCTGTGCAGAATGAGTGGATTTCAAGCTAGTTTGATAGTTACATAGAAGAAAAGGTGAGACATGAGCGTCCATGGCAAACAGATGCTATGAGCAGCTTTTATCTGTTGTGACTTTGTAGGTTTCACCTTAGATGGTTGCAGGGGGTCAATCAGAGAGCCAGAAAAGCTTTTTTCTCCAGGTTACACCCTTCCTCCCCACTCCACCTAAGGCACCTGCAATAATGTCCAGTAAATACTTTAATCACTGCACTAAAGCTCAGCAAGCATTCTCATTTTCACACTTTTCAGAAGGAGAAGCTGAGGCATGTGGAATGAGTGCAGAAAAGCGATCTGCACTCCAGCACTGTCCAGAATAGCCAGAATCTGGAAGTAACCTTGTGCCCAAGATCGATGAGTAGATAAAGAAATTATTGTACAGCAGAAATGCCACTGGTTCCCGTGAGTGTCAGGCTATCTCATTCGGGGCATTCCAGAGCGGGATTGGTGAATTCCACCACCCACCCTCAGAGAAGCAGCAACGGCAGTCAAAAACTTCCAGAGCAAAACGCCACCATCGCCACAGGATTCATGTGTCTTATCCTTGAGTGAATCTTCTGAAAAACCCAGGTATGAGGGACCTGTGCTTGCCTTGCACGCAGCCAACATGGACGACCCGAGTTCGATTCCTCCGCCCCTCTCGGAGAGCCTGGCAAGCTACCGAGAGTATCTCGCCCGCACGGCAGAGCCTGGCAAGCTCCCCGTGACGTATTCAATATGCCAAACACAGTAACAACAAAGTTTCCAATGGAGACGTTACTGGGCCCGCTCAAGCAAATCGATGATCAACGGGAGGGCCTTTATTTATAAAATAACATGGTACTGACACCCAAGGACTGTAGACAAGGACCAGTAAGATTGCTCCATAGTTTGAAGCCTGCCTCACAGGGAGTTAAGGCAGCTGGAATGTAGAAGGGATCACTAAGAAAATGATGGTTGGAAGGATCAGTCAGGATGGGAGATGTGTGTTGAAAATAGATAAAGGACCGAAAGTCATGGTCTCTAGGGATCTGTGTTGCAAACCATAATGCCCAAAAGTAGAGAGAGAGAATGTAGGAAATTGTCAGGGAGGGTGGGAAAGGAGGGGTATACTGGGAGATTGGTGGTGGGGAATATGCACTGGTGGGGAGATGGGTGTTTGAACATTATATGATTGTAACTCAAACATGAAAGCTTGTAACTGTATTCATGTGATTCAATAAAATAAAATTTAAAAATAATAATAATAAAATTAAATTTAAAAAAACTTAAAAAGAAACTACAGGGGGCTGGAGAGATAGCACAGCGGGTAGGGTGTTTGCCTTGCACGCGTCCGACCCAGGTTCAATTCCCAGCATCCCATATGGTCCCCTGAGTACGACCAGGGGTAATTCCTGAGTGCAGAGCCAGGAGTAACCCCTGTTGTGTATTGCCAGGTGTGACCCTAAAAGCAAAAAATAAAATAAAATAAAAAGAAACCACAGTGCATCTACACAGTGGAACACTACATGCCAGTTAGGGAATATGAGGTCATGAAATTTGCTTCTATGTGGATAGACAGGGAGAGTATCATGCCGAGATAATGAGTCAATGGGAAATGAACAAACACACAATGATGGCACTCGTTTGGGGATATAAAAACCAAAAACAACAGCATTGTGTGAGAATAATACCCAAAGACATAGCAACAAGGACCAGGAAAAATGGCTCATGGGAAGAAGCATGTCACAAAAAGGGAGGGGAGTGACATTAGGACAGAGAAGGGACCACTTTGACAGTGGTAGTTGGAAATGGTCACTCTGAACCAAAACTGAGTGCTAAAAGGAGATAAAGTGATATGCATGAATCCTTTCAGTAACAGTGTAGAACCAAAGTGCAGCCATTGTCAGCATGAAGGAAAGTGCAGAAATTTAGTTGTTAGTAGACATTTTGATATTCTATATGTTTATGTAATTGACAGCTGAACTGAGGATGAACCCGAGACCACATCATAGGAAAGAAAACAAAAGGAACAAAATTTGTAATGCTTGCAGGTAAGGTCAGCTTCTGCCGCATCTACCAGCACTTCTGCTCTTCTCTCTTTGAGGTCTTCCTTGATCGCATCTCTGCACAGCTTTGCGAGCTCGGACGTTCGCTTGCGGTTGCCTGAGGCATGTGCCAAACCACGTTGGCGAATAAGCTGAAGAGTTTTCAAAGACAGGCGTTTTTTTGTGGCTATCTCTCTCGGTGTTCTTTGCACAATCATGGAGGTGCTGAACCAGTAAATCATATTCCTCGTCAATGTTGTCAACAACGGCATCTTCCCATGTTGCAGCAATAGTGCCAAAGAGCTCCCAACTATTGCTGCAACATGTTCATTAATTATGTGGACATACCTTCATGCATATCATGTTTTTGAAAATTAGAAAGATTCAGTTTCAAATGTGATAACTGTCCAAATTCAATGGCCTGGCCATGTTAGAAGTAATTCTAATTCTGGGGCGTGAGCAGTGGGTGGTCTCACTGATCTGCTAAGTCAATTCAAATGTCCTTATTCATATTTTCAGTTTCCCTGCAAACTGAGCCTATGAATTTCAGGATCCAGAGAAAAAATGCTCAGGCTTTCCTCCTTCCTCGATACTCCCAGTAGATAGCATATGCTATCTATGATAGATAGGTAGCTAGATAGATATAGTAGGTGCTCCCAGATCACAGCCCCTGAGCCCTGTGATCTGAATTGGCCCTGGCTTCCTCTTAGGACTTCCCAGCACTGCTCACTGCACAGAATGACCACTAGGGGGCAGCAGAGAATCATGGGGTCCAACGGAGCTCGGTGGATCAGAACGACAGGGGGTCTAACTCAGTAGATTGGGAATGTCCAGGGAGCTGGTGTTTAATAATGAGTCTCATACCTAAGAAAAAGGTATTTATTTTTCTAGCACCTGACACTGATGAGCATATTTTTTATTTTCTTTCATTCTCGTTTTTTTGCTTTTTGGGTCCCACCCGGCGACGCTCAGAGGTTACTCCTGCCTTTCCACTCAGGAATTACTCCTGGCGGTGCTCAGGGGACCATATGAGATGCTGAGAATCGAATCTGGGTCAGCCAAGTGCAAGGCAAATGCCCTACCCCCTGAACTATCACTCAACCCTTCTTTCTTTCCTTCTTTCCTTCTTTCTTTCTTTCTTTCTTTCTTTCTTTCTCTCTCTCTCTTTCTTTTTTCTTTATTTCTTTCTCTCTCTTTCTTTTGTTCTTTATTTAGTTCTTTCTTTCTTTTTTCTGTTCTTCCACTTACAGAAATTGCCAATTTCTCTGAAAAAATGATATAGACAGTTAGGTCATCCCCACAAATAAATTCTGATCACTGGGGTCACGGTCCATAAAATTTAGTCTGATTCCTTTAGAATCTGAACTTTGTTGTTGTGTGGCAAGTGTCAGGACCTGCAAGGTAAGGGGGTGGGGCTCCTGGGGAACTGGGGAAATGTGATGCATTCTAAAGAGGCCCTGAGGAACTGTGATGCTGATGAAACCATAGAAGGGTGCTGTGGGGAATCCAGACCTGTCCTCAGTGATGCTCAGTCCAGGAACACTTAGTGCTGGGAATCTAAGCAGAATTGTTTTCAAACAGGGCACCTAGGATATAAGAGTGTGTGTGTGTGTGTGTGTGTGTGTGTGTGTGTGTGTGTGTGTGTGTTAGTGCACACGCCATACCTGGCTATACTCAAGAGCTCTGACTTTTCACTCTTGCATTGTTCCTGATGGAGTCTTGGGACAGTATTTGGTGACAGGGATCAAACCTGGGCAGGCCATGCACAGGGAAGTACCTTCCCTGCTATATTATCTCTCCAACAACAGCATCTGAAATATTTTTTGTCCAGAAAATGGTCACGGTCATGGTCCTCCCATTGTTCATCAACTTCCTCGAGCGGGCCCAGTGACGTCTCCTTCGTGAGACTTGTTGTTACTGTGTTTGGCATACCAGCTTGCCAGACTCTGCTGTGCGGGCAAGGTACTGTCGGTAGCTTGCCGGGCTCTCTGAGAGGGGCGAAGAAATCGAACTCAGGTTGGCCATGTTGGCTGCATGCAAGGCAAATGCCCTACCTGCTGTGCTCCAGCCCTGTCGAGAAAATATTTGCTATTTAGTCTGTTAAACATTTTCATTTCCATTGGAATCTGGTAACAAGAAAGATCCACTATCAGTTACTTAAATCAAGTAATAAAGGTAATTTTTATTATTTTATCACTTAATCACTTAACTTCCCGTTAGTCGTAGATTTGCTCGAGCGGGCGCCAGTAACGTCTCCATTTGTCCCTGTCGCGTGCTAGTGTAGCCCAATGGCATCTGTTCGCTCCAGGAACATGAAGGGCCTCAAACCGATCGTTCATGATCTTGACGAAGAAGTCTGACCATCTGGAAGGTGGGCGGCCATGCGGTCTTTTGACATCCCGTGGAATCCAATCAGTAACAGCTCTAGTCCAACGGTCGTCTTGAAATCTCATTACGTGACCAGCCCATCTGATTTTCGACACCTTGGCAAATGAGACAGCATCCCTGATCCTTGATCGTCGATGGATGTCAGAACTCCGGATTCGTTCTCTCATTTGAGTGAAACGTGATATTCCAAGCATAGCTCTTTCTATTCTTCTTTGGGAGACCTGAATAGCATTCTCATCTTGTTTGCGTAGGGCCCAGGTCTCTGAGTCATATGTTAATGCAGGAAGAACAGTGGAATCAAAGAGATGTGCCCAGAGCCGGAGGTTCTTCGTCCTCTTAGCTATTTCTTCGACGTTCTTGAAGATTTATTATTTTATAAATCTTCCCAAAACTGAAGGAAACCAACAATAAAAAGCTTTTTAATGAAATCCTTGTAATTTAAGCCAATATTTCATACCATATATAAATTTATTTATTCTGAAAACATATTGTGTTAATGTCCTAGCCACCACCTAACTACACAAAATTCCCATAACCCACTGACGAACAAAAATTGTCAGGGAGATGCCACTAAGCAGAATGTGGGCACTAAAGGGTCAGCTCCACCCTCCTTGTGTCCCTTGGGTCGGGGCCCTTTTCTGAAGCCATGACACCCAGCAGTACCACTTAGCCTGGCTGATTTGCATAGCCAGCAGCTCTCTCCCTGAGGGGATAAGAGGGGACCAGGAGGAGTTCAGCCTCAGGTGCCAGAATCCCAGCCCCTCACCATGGCCTGGACCACGCTCCTCCTGGGCCTCCTGGCTCACTGCACAGGTGATGTGTCCAGGCTTACAGCAGCCCCATGTACAAGCTCTGGATCATCCTTGTCCTTGTCTGAGCTAAGCAGGGCACTGGTGTAAAATGCTCATCACCCTGATGGAGGGTGGGAGTGGGGGTGGTGGGGTCCCACAGGATTACTTCAGGTTATGAACATCGGAATCTCAGCAGAACTGAGCTTCCTCCTTACCTGACCTCTCCTTCTCTCTTGCAGGTTCTGTATCTTCCTATGAGCTGAATCAGCCGCCTTCATTTTCTGTGAACCTGGGAGGGGAGGCCAAGATGACCTGTAGGGGAAACAACATTGGAAGAAAAGCTGTTCAATGGTTTCAGCAGAAGCCAGGCCAGGCCCCTGTGCTGGTCATATACAGGGATTACAACCGGCCCTCAGGGATCCCTGACCGCTTCTCTGGCTCCAACTCTGGGGACACGGCCACGCTGACCATTAGCAGTGTGCGCACTGAGGATGAGGCCGACTATTACTGTCAGGTGTGGGACAGCAACAATGCTCACAGCGACACAGACTGATGGGGAAGTGAGACACAAACCTCTGCCCTCTGTCACACTATCCTCAGGCCAGGAGCAGGGTTAAGCCAGCAATGAGTTCATGTAGTCCTGAACCTAAATGGGAGATTCAAGGGTCCCCTCTCCTTCCAGCCCTGCAGTCACACTCCACAAAGGAGCCTCCAGGGATGGATTTGGGTAGAAAACAGGGTAGATTTATTACAACTGTGTACAACTGTACATGAGGGCACTATTGGCGGACCAACATGGCGGGAGTGACACCGGTGCTGGGATTGGATTGAAACCTAGTAGAGCATAGTCACGTAGTAGGACCAGGGAGATGCGAGTGTCCATGCTACATCAGTGCTAAGAGCAGCTTTTACCCGTTTAACACATTTTGGCCTTTCCTAGAGAGGCAGAGTTGGCTGTGTAGAGGGTTGGAAGAACTCTTTTCTCTACACTTTCTCCCTTGTTTTCACTTCACCCAAGGCACCTGCAATAACATTCAATAAATACTTTAATCGCTGCACAAAAGTTCTACAAGCATTCTCATTTCCACACTTTACAGAAGGGAAAGTTGAGGCACTCAGGATGAGTAGGAGCTCAAGTGTGAAAACAGTTTAGCAAAATCCAATTAGATTCTGTCCCAACTTCTTTCTCCTCACCACCATACCTGTGATTGGTGGGTGATTGGTGAGGGCAGGATGGTTGGGGAACACCCAGCTGTGCTCAGGGACCATTCTTGACAGTGCTCAGGGGACAAAAAAGGATACTGGGATTCAAACCCATGTAGACCACTTTCAAGTCAAGTGCCATACCTGCTATATTACTTACCCCTTCCACTATCTTGATGATTTAAAAAATAACCCCTGATCTCTCTGAAAATTCCAGAAATTTTCCGTTTTTCACACACACACACACACACACACACACACACATACACAGAGACAGAGAGAGAGAGAGAGAGAGAGAGAGAGAGCTATTGTGACTATGCATTGTGTCCCTGTCTAGTGGAAATAAAATTTTCACTAAAGATGCAATTTAAAATATTCAGTAGTTTGCATTTAAAAGATTAGGAGAAATAACTGGGATTGATTCGCAATCTATTTTGTCAGTTCTTTAATTAAAAAGACTTACTTCAAATACATACTTAATATAAAATGAGGTATACGTTTTATATTATTCATTATTTCTTAAACCAGGTAGGTAGTTCAAAACTACAGTTCAGTTCATTATTACCAGGTCTATCACCTCCACAGTCTTGTTGTTACAAAAAAAAGAACAGAACAGACAGGATGAGAAACTTTCTCTAAGGCAAATTCTTGCAATTAGACTTACAGACCAGAGGCCAATAAGTGTCTACGAGACAGATATGTCACCAGAAAGAAATTGCTGCTTATTTTCTTCAACCCTAAATGCTGAGACCATTCAAAAATGGGATTTTTATCAAATGAAGTCCACACTCCCTCCATCATCAAAATTTTAAGTAAAAGTATAATTTTAAACATGAATTTGAGTATCAAGCCCTTGATACTATTATGTCAGAGCTATGAATGTCATGAGTCCATATGAACTATTAAATTTAAAAAAAAAATAGCCAAAGCAGGTTGGAGAGAGAATACTGTGAGAAGATATCAACCCAATCAGGAGTGATCCCTGAGCACAGAGCTACAATTAAGCTCTGAGCACTCCCAAGTGTGGCCTCAGAGGAAAAAAAAAGTCAAGGGAATCAGATATATACCCTGGAGAACAGAGCCAGAAGTCACCCCTGAACACCACCGAGTGTGCCCCTCCACAAATGGCAGAGAATCCCTTTCAGTGGAAAGATCATTTCCATAAACCCATAAGACACAAAGCTCTATTTGGTTCATCATTTGACAGGGCAAGATTGAGCAAGAAAATATATTCTTGCCTTCAGCAGCCACCAGGGAGCATCAGAAGCAGACATCAGGGGACTCTTCAAACGCAAAATCCACATGAGATGGGGTGGACAAGATAAGCAGGAGTCAATATCCAGACTCAATGAAAAGATGTCATCATTTTCTACCCTTCCGTCCTTGGCAGTGATGTGCAAGTTCTATGAATGCGGTCTGCTGATCTAGTATGCTTCTTGCTCTGCCAAGGGTCCAGCCATGTTTATTCCATCTGCTAACCCTCTCTCAATGTCCAAAAACATCATTCTTGCACGATAGAAGAGCTTCCTGCCTGCCAGCTGCTCCCCCTTCCTCGCATAATGCATTTGGTTGGCTAAAGTAAATCAAACAGGTTTGAACTTGATGGATTGAGAGAGAGGCAACACAGAGAAAGCAGTGGTCACGGCTTACTCCTGGCTCTGTATTCAGGAATCACTCCTATTGGGACTTAGGGGAAACATGGAGTGCTGGGGATCAATCCCAGGTTGCCTGGGTACAAGAAAAGTACCTATCTGATTTGGTACCACTTTAGCCCCTGATCTTCATAAAATTTCCAGGTAACTGAAAGCACTGTACTGTAATAAGTGCTCACTTGAAAGTGCTCATTTTCAAAGCATGGAGATGCCATCATTCATACAATCATTTCTTGGAACATAGCACAGAAACTGAAAGTGCCCCTCGGTGCACTGGGGATACTGAGGCACATTACTGTGACCAGTAACAGGGGCTCACACTCGGGCAGAAACTAAGTCTCTCTAGGACACCATATTTGCTTGGTAAGTCGTGATATTAATTGAGCTCTGCTTCTCAGGAGCATGATCTGGGTTGTCCCATCTACGTCTGGTGATAGCACCCGTGGAAAAGTCTCCACTGCAGACACATTCACCTTCCCACTGTATCTGAGCAGGACAACCCAGAAGAATTACAGATCAAGACACATTTTAGTGTAAAAATGCCACCCAGACTATGTGGTATGAGCAGGAAGCGGATGCCCGGAATGAAGTGAGATTTGCAGTGAAAAAACTCTAGTCCTCCCTGTGACTGCCAGATCTGAAAACCTTTGTGAAATCATAAATTTCCTCAAACAGCACCACACCCACATCCTAGACACCTGTCTGCTTTGCATACAAGCATCCTTCCAACATGGTCATAAGAGACCTATTCAACAGGATCCAGCTTTCCTGTTCCATTGAGCCTGACCAGGGAACCACACCATGGTCTAGACCCGTTTTCTCCTCAGCCTTCTGGCTCATGGCACAGTGCTGCCTCCCAGGATCATGACACCCAAATTCCAGGATTCTAATCCGTAGAATGGAACCATCAACAGTGATCCGTGAGAAATGCACCAGACAGAGAGAGGAAACGGGCATTTTCTCATTCCATCAAATTTTCAGCCTGAGGTTCTCCAGGACTACTGGGCTGAGATGTGGAATGAGGGCTCCATGGGGCTCAGTGGTTCCCTTGAGCTCAGCTTGGACTGTTATTTCTTTCTTAAATTGCCTTTCATTTTGTTCTCTGCAGGTTCTGTGGCAGCCTACACACTGATTCAGCCTTCTGCCGCGTCGGCCACTCTGGGACAGACAGCTAGGATGTCCTGTGAAGGAAACAACATTGGTAAAATGTATGTAGGCTGGTATCAACAGAAGCCAGGATGACCCCTGTGCTCGTCAGGGTCGTCACTACATGCATGTGGAGTCTATAAAATACTTGCAGTCAGGCAGGTAGAGGCCCTCCGTTAAAGGGTCTTTCTTTTTCCATCTCACTCTCACTGGCTCTCATGCAGGCTCTGTTACCCCTGTTGAGCTGACTCAGTCACACTCTTTTTCAATTGTCTTGGGATGGATGGTCACATCATCAGCAGGTGGAAAAATGTTCTAGTAGGTGTCTATTAGCACCAGCAGAAGCCAGGCCAAGCCCCTGTCCTGTCCACTTGTTGTTGTTTTCTGTTTATTTGTTTAGAGAAGGTAAAAGGGAAAAGGGTGTGAAGCAGAGGGGAGGAGAAAGGAAAGAAAGGGGAAAGGAGGGAAGAGAAACAGGGGACAGAAGGGAAGGGATGGGAAGGGATGGGATGGGAGTGGAGGGGAGGGGAGTGGAGGGGGGGAGTGGAGGGGAGGGGAGCAGAGGGGAGGGGAGGGGAGGATGGAGTAGGAGAGAGGATGGGAGGGGTGGACAGTAGTGGGCAGAGAGGTAAGAGGAGGGAGCAGTATATGGATGAAAGGGAGGCAAACAGGGGTAGGAAAGAGAAGTGGATTCGGGAAAAGAGGGGAGGGCCATGACATACGTGATAAAGCAGGAGGTCCAGACTAACTACTGCTAACTGAGAAGCAGAAAAGGCCAGAACCATCTGGTTCTGGCTAGACTCCCCTTTACCTGTCCTGACCAATCTAGGCTTTTCCTGGTGTGATCAAGGAGGGTCAAGCAGAGGGGCAGAAACACTCATTTCTCCAGGCTACCTACCTTGCTCCCCACTCCACCAAAGGCACTTGCAACATATTTAGTAAATACTTCAATCACTGCACAAAAGCTCAACAGCATTCTCTTTTTCACACTTTATGGAAGGGGAAGCTGAGGCATGAGAGGTGAGTGCAGAAATGCAATCTGCACTCCAGCACCACAAAAATAGCCAGAATCTGGAAGTAACCCTGTGCCCAAGATCAGAAGAGTGGATAAAGAAACTATTGTACAGCAAAGATGCACCGGCCCCCAGCCAGGCTATGTCACCCAGGGGCATTGAGCTGAGGTGGTGAGTTCAACCACCCACCCCCCAAAAAACCCCGTAGCAAAAACTTCCAGAAACCAATCATCACTATGCTCAGACCCATCTCCACAGACTGCACGAGCCTCATCCATGAGGGAATCTGCTGAAAAACCAAGGTCTGCAGGACTTCTGACTGCAATCTGCATTCCCATCTGCAGTTGGGTGACCTACCCCCACCTCCCTGAGTTCTGGTAGCTGGCAGTCATGCCCACAAACTGCCTCTGGTTCCATTTAATCTCATGATCCGGTCATGATCCAAAGACTCATAAATAAACCTCAGAAAAGGAAGAGAGCAGCATAGCACAGACATTCCTCCGGACCCCAAATCACCATTTATTTAAAAATTGAATTCT